TATTAAACAGTGATACCGTGATTTTCTTTTGAAACGACTGAAGATGCTGATTACATAAGTTCTAAATCTTGTATTTTTGTCTTTAAAATGATCAATCCAGTTAAGTTGTGTGATATAATTACCCAAGATCTTGTCAGAGATTGTGTTAATATCAAGCGGGTAAAGTTCGCGTGGGTATGGAACTTCTTCGTAACGCTCTTCAAGAAACTTGTGCAATGTACGTATGTTGTATCTGAACCCGTGAATAAATCCGGACGCAGCTTTTCTGTCGCTGCACTGCATTACTGTGCCCATAAAGTACATATTGTCGACGTTGGATTCCCAAGTATTGGAGATGACTGGGAACTTGCCACCTTGTTTGGTTACTATAGAAGAAGCAATAAGAGAGAAAAGTTAGTTTTAAGAATGTCAGCATTGTCAGTCGGTTGTCTTTGCCATACATTGAATAAGTGTTTCATGGTGTATTTCTATTTATGATTAATGATGTGTTCATTCGCTTTATAATCGAGTTAGTACGATAATGAATCAAGTATTTTTGAAAATAGAAAATATCTCTTTACCTGGTTTGCAGTTGTCATCAAATATTGACGAATCAACATAATTAAAACCGGTACAGCAGATCACGTGATCATATGGTGGTAGCTTGAACCTGACGCGACCCTGCTTTTCTCTCCAATGTGGAACAATATCGTCACAAGTAAGAACATAACCTTCGTCTGTTTTCGCTACTTCTAACAAGTTCACAGCCTGGTAAACGTGCAGAGATTTCAGCTGGTACATGTCAAGTACAGTATCGTTGACTGCTCTAAGATCACCTGTCGAAGAAAGTTTGGGTCAAAATATGTGAAGGATTGCAATAAAAACCACGCCATATTTGGAATGTTGAATTATTGTAAAACACTTTGAAATAGCTACATATCATTTTAGCGAATTGACTCAATGCATGAATTAACTGAATCTTAATTTAGCTAAAGTGCCAACAATCTTACTGTGAGAATATACTCTATTCTAATTAGCGATATCTTAATTTAGCGAAATTGTGGATTAGCTAAATTAGCTATTATAACATGCTAGCTAAAAAGATATGTTTTACAGTAAATTATTACACCAATTATGCAATGTTGAATACGTCATATTTAAAATTGAACATGGAATGTTGAATTTCAATTGCACCAAATATATAGAGTGTATGTATCATAAGTTTAATATTTACTTACCTACAAAGTGAGTGTCCCAAGCATGCTTTAATTTTCGATCTCCAAATATATGTATTATACTAGCTGCTCCAGCAAGGTGATTAGCTGCTTCGAAAGCACTGTTTCCATTACCGAGAATGAATACTTTTTTTCCATTGTATTTCTCGGTGTCGAGACTGTGGTTACAGTACGTCTCCATGAGCTCTTTGCCTTTGATGTGTTCGGGGATTTTCTCATTACGTGCTCCAGTAGCAACTAACAGAACCTTGCATCGGTACTCTCCTTTGGATGTCTTCAGGGAGAAATTTTCACCAGATTTGGCTTGATTTTCTAGTTTCTTTATCTTCTCAACTTGAGTATTGTAATGAATATTGAGGTTAAACTTCTTGGCGTAATCATCCATGTAGCGAACCAAATCATCGGCATGTGGGAACAGCTCTTTGGAGTACTTAGTGAAGCGGAGTTCGGGATCATCGCTCAACAACGAGTTCCAGTCATGTCGCATGTTGTATTCCGGTTCCGGGAATGGGTTAAATCTTTTATTGATCGATATCAGAGTACGATGACGTGGGTGTACTGCGAAAAACGAACCTGGTGTGTCATTCATTTCCAGTATAGCGTAACTACGCTTCTTCTTCTCAAGGAAGTAACCCATTTGACAGCCACCTGGACCTGCACCAACAACGATGTAGTCGAAATAACCTGAGAAAAGAGTTCGTACATGAGTAAGAGTGTGTTTATGAAACTTAATCTACTGTACATGAATGTGTTATTATTGTGTAAACCTAAAAAGAATGCAATAGCATTGAAAGATCGTGCAAGATTATGGTTTATAGGTCCATTGTTTTTATGCAGTGTATTTTGCTATTTCATAATTATTTACTTACCCCATCTTAAATTGAAAGCATAATTATGTGTATTTATAAGGTGTATGTGTGTCAGCCCTGGTCATATTTGTCATTAGTTGAATGACAGGCAGATTGATATTCATTTCTAAACATTAATGGCATTACGGAAAGACATGCATGGACAAACAATCATTTTTCTACAAATCTCATACCACCAATCACCGTACAAGTCTCATACCACCAATCAGCGTACAAGTCTCATACCACCAATCACCGTACAAGTCTCATACCACCAATCAGCGTACAAGTCTCATATCACCAATCAGCGTACAAGTCTCATACCACCAATCAGCGTTCGTAGCAATCATGCAACTGTTGTTAGCCAATGGAGTGCATTGTTCTCTGGGTTAAATCACAGTCCCTCTAAATGAAATAACACACTGGCCGAAATATCATCTAAAACCACCGTCTCTCACCGTGATGAGGGATGGTGCTACAACGTGGTTGATTTAAAACGCCGACCCATCGTCACGGTGTGTGAGTGAAACCACCTATTCTCTTATGTGTGATTTCTCACCGGTCTAAATTAAATTAAAGATTGTGTCGCTCAACAGCATGGATAAAATAAACAAATGATGGCCACACGGCCCTGTCATGTAGTCTCAAACATGAATATGACTTCTGTGGCAAAATGCACGTAACTAGCACTTGCAATTTGCACATACAGAAAAAAGTCAGGAGAGACAACAGTGTCACTCAATGTCCGGAACTGTCGCCTGGCACACAAAAAATTAAACAAATGTCGGAAGCGATGAAAACAGGGGAGTATCAAACATCGAAACCTGGAGACACTGGAACCCAGTTAATTTTGGAGGGGAACATTGAGAGGGGTGCTCAATATGAATATTACTCAGTATTACCACTGTAACTTGCGGTAGGGCATACATGAAGAATAAAAAAATGTAAAATTGGACTTACCGGGCATCTTCTTGTCCGTAGCCATGACTGCGTTGTGATCACTTCAGTAAACCAAAGAATACTGTGAATATACCGATGAGACGACCTCCTTATATACTGTCTGTGTTTTATTACCGACCGTTTATCTGTTTGCATCAATTAGTTTACTCGTCGCCTCGACACGCCAGTCACCTGCTAAAATCGTGAGAGGTCACGCGATTAAAGGTGTACTGCAATTCACGTGTACACATGTGGCAGTCAGTCTTTGAAAACTCCTGACAATCACCATCACGGTGTAATAATAATTATCTTTATTGCGTTCGTATCTCTGTTAGGATTTTGAATAAAATGAAATACAGATGTAAAGAAAGACAAAAAAAAGTAAGTAAAAAAGACAAAGTAAGAATTAAAAAAAACACAAGAAAATAGAAAGAAAATGACAAGCAAATCAAAGTAGAACAAATATAATAGTATGATAAATTGGATTGTTTTCCATATTTGTGTTGGTCACAGTCCCAGTATAGCTTAAATCTTAGCCCGTACTTTGTGTAGCGCAAACACTACTAATATTGAATTGCGTGAAGAGCGTAGGGAATCACAATTTAAAAATTTAATCTAGCCGGTCATGTCGGCTCACACACAGTGGGACTGTGGTTCATAGTAAATGTATCTCTATAATGAGTCTTCACAGTACACAGATCAATACGGCACAATGTATTAAACAATAATAGACCTCATAGGAGTATAATTATAGATATATTGTAATGTATTTTCATATATAATCGCCATTGAGTCTTGTATTTTGTAAATGTAACCGCATTACTGTGATTTACCTTTGTAATTTGTGTCCAGTTTTATCTTTCACTGTAAATCATCACAAAGTTGTGTCAATAAATAGACTAACTGCCTTGCTTATTTCAACGTACTTTGGCCTCGGTCACCTGTATAGACTAGCTGAGTCAACAGAACTAAATATAAAGATCCATCGTGTGTATGATCCATTTCATCCCACACCGGGACATAAGGCTGCAATCAGGTTATTCCATTCCTGTCTATCCGTGATCCAAGATCCACGGTACACTCATATCAAACGCCGATAGCAACGCATTTAGATTAAAATTTACAATTTACTTCCTAATTTCATACTTCCTTTATCAATATATTTTTTTCAACAGTGAATATTAAATAATTAAAAATGATTATTAAAGGTTAGATTCCCGTTAAAATGACGTTTTTTGTATCAGATTGTATGCATGCAAGGGGTTGCAGGAAATAAAAAAAATAATTAATAAAAAAAAACAATCTACTGACAAGAGACCGTGAAAACAAATTGCACTGAAAACACTAAGCACTCACTCCAGCACCCCCTCCCCTCGTGATTTCAAATGTACAAAATATTATTTATCTTTACACCTCGGAATGATTGACATTTTTTTTTCTACCAGCCCTTATAACGGAACTCTTACGTACTCAAGAGTTGATTTGATATTTACTCTATACATTTACAATCATCTTGATTTTGATTACACATCAAAGGTCATTCGCGACTTGCAATATAGAGTTATAATCCGATAAAATCCGATTAGTTGAATTGTCTACTTATTGGTGGCGATTTCAACTTTCACCTTCAAGTTAGCAGTGATAACCCTAAATGTGATAAACACATACATATATTGGGATATTTAGACAATTTAAATATCGTCTATAGCTAAAACAGGTGTACGGGGTTGTGTACGGGTCTCTTGTTATTGCCGCTATATATCGCGATATATAGACAATCTAAATATTAATTAGAGCTAGAACAAGCAGCTACATATGGACGGGGGAGTTGTTAACAAATATGCGTGTGTGTTAAATCAATTCGGTAGGACTGGAATTAATGCAACGTCTAAATATCTAGTTTATAATTTAGATAATCTAAATAGCGGCAATTGTGCTGTTTCTAAATAACGTCTTAGTTTATAATCAGTTTATAATGTAGCTTTCTGAACTTGAATATAAACTTTATAAATTAGAAATAGATTTAGACATTTCTAATTTAGCTTTCTAAATTTGAATCTAAACTTTATAAATAGGCTGTTATTGGCTAGATTTACTCGAATTGCGAAATTTGTTGTAACACATTGAAGTTGTTACTCATGTTAATGGTAATATCATCGATTTGCTGATAAAGGGTGCATCTGATCAGCTAATTACTGATGTTAAAGTCAGTCAAAATTTAGTCTCCGACAAAAATCCTGTGCAGTTGTGGTGTTAAGGTTTCTCGACCGCCATATGATAAAGTCACACGCACACTTCATAAGATTAATGGCATTGATCACGATAATTTTAAAGTTAGGCTACAGTCCAAATTTTCCACCTTTCCGCTTACTTCAGGTTATGACCATCATTGTGATGTTTCTACTATAAGTACTTTAGTTGACAAACCACGAGCAGCCTGGTATTCAAATAATTCCGACGAGCTTATTCAGTTAAAAAGATCAGTTCGCAAAAGTGAAGGCAAATTGTGATCTACTGGACTATCGGTCCATAATGACATTTTTTTCAACTCAACTATGTCTTATATTGCATTATGAGGACAGAGTCACGGTTGTGGTGCGTTGTGCCGAATACGTTTTTGTTTCACGGTACATTTTTGATGACGTAATTAAAATCGTGAATAAATCGTCAAATGAATCTTGTTCTTTTGATAATTTACCAACGAAGCTCTTGAAAGATAACATTATTATACTTACTCCGTTTCTTGTGTCATTTTTTAATTCATCTTTATCTTCTGGAACCGTTCCGCACAAATTTTAGATCACCATTGTCAAACCACTTCTTAAAAAAACCGGGCTTGATCAAAATTTGCTGAAAAATTACCGTTCAGTTTCTAACCTCTCATTTTTATCCAAAACACTAGAAAAGATTGTAGCTGATCACGTATGTGACTATTTATCATCAAACAACTTATTTGCCAAGTTTCAGTTAGCGTACCGGGCCAATCACAGCTCAGAAACTGCAATATTAAAGGTTCATATTGCTATAATGACGTTGGACGTTGTTTTGGTCAGGCTCGATCCTTTCGCCGCGTTTGGTAACTTGGATCACTCTATTTTAATTCATCGTCTCCAACAAGGTTCGGTTTTACATGGTTCATTTCCTATCTTACAGATCGTTCATTCAATTGCTACGTTCACGTTATGGAATCTCGACACGAACCGAAATTTTTAATCATTTGTGTTTGCAGAGGGATTACAGCAGTTGCGTTCACGTTACGCGGGACACACTTGGGACCCACTCGAGTCTGTTATTTTACCATGGAAAACGGATATATGAGGATAATAATTAAATCTAATTAGAAATTTTGAAGTTTTGGTTCATCGCAAATCTCGCGATGAGTTTCGGTCCCGAGCATCTATCGGAACCGAGATCGAGTTGTTTTCGGCACGTGCCGACTCGGTCCCAACCGTTCACACACACACACACATTTTGGGACATGTCGACTCGGTCCTGAGTCTTGGCACGTGCCAAGATCTCTAACGTGAACACCTCTAATATCTCGCTTGACTCCTTATTATCATCGTCACCATCAATTTGTAATTCGATTTCCTCAAGGGACCATCCTTGGCCCGTTTCTGCCTGGCTGAAATCGAACATGTTGATTCTCAACCCTGGCAAGACTGAAGTTATTAATTTTTCATCGCGCTTTAAAAAAGAACATTAAGATGTTGAACTCAATGAGAACCGGTGGGTCTGACATAAATCTTTCTAGCTCAGTCCGTAATCTTGAAGTCCATTTTGAAACTGATTTGGGGCCCTATATTAATCAGATTTGTAGGTCAGCTTACTTCGTATTGGCTACGCATTCGTGAAATAATTCAGTTCCAATTTATCTATGTCACTGATTCTTTCTTATTGAAAAAAAAAACGTATGGTTGGCGTTCTTTTAGCAATTATGCTACCACTCTCCATTCGCCAGTCAATCAATATCAAGTCAGAAAACTCATCTCTTTAGAAGACAGTTCTTCGTTTACATGCGATTTTAATGGTGAGGTTATTTTTAAAGTACCGGTATTTTCAATTATTTTTTTTTAGAAAACAGTTAATTTGTATTCGTGTATTATACAGCGGTGTGTGACGGACATTGCTTAAGAAAATTGGGGATGTGCTTGTACCGTCTCAAAATTATGGTTACATGCATAGATGTCGGATACCCCAAAACAGGTCTTATTACATTATTACCGAAATCATTTAAAGATGTTCTAGAACTGCGTAATTGTAATCCGATAAGATAAACGCCATACCAGCTACGATAAAGTTCGCTGACAACATAATAGAATAGAGGTGAACTATTGTAGTACCGTGCACACAATTAACATTTGTACGGGTTAAGAGGTCAAATACCTTAGCCCGTGATAAGAAAACGTGCCTGAACGCTTAGCACGGGCTAAGAAATGCTAATTACGGGTTAAATCCGGTCCCATTATGACCCTGTCAAGATCACCTTTGGGCTGAAATTGTGAATGCGCTCATATCTTCTCAAAGTTATGGTTACGTCTGAAGTTACGTGCATGGATTGATGTCTGATACCCCAAAACAGACCAGTATTACCGAAATCTAGAACTGCGTAATTGTAATCCGATAAGATAAACGCCATGCCAGCTACGATACAGTTCGCTGATGACATAATACTGTATAATAGAGGTGAACTATAGTAGAAGCGTTCACGTGGCTTGGAAGGTTGAGACGGGGTATAACACGATTCAAGCTGACCAATAGATTTTTGCCATATAACACACGTGACCAACAATTTTTCAACCACGTGTACGCCGGTCTTCTTAGCATGATGGTGTACTTTGCCTTTTATACATTCATTCGCTGTACTGGTGCGTTTTAACAGCCAACTCACCCGGTGACTTTTATTTTTTAACAATATTTGTTAAAAATCAAGCAAAGTTTTCAGTATGTACATGAACAATTTGGTTTATTACTGTATTACATAACATTTAAGAATTACGTACCATTTTACGCTAAAATATTGCGAATTTGGTTAATACCATAAATAATAATGTTCTCCCAGATTTATTCATTT